AAGAACAGCTGGCTGGTTTGTCCTGGACGAACCTGAGCTGAGGTTCAGGGAAGAAAAGCTGGCTGGTTTGTCCTGGACTAACCTGAGCTGAGGTTGGCTAGCAGATCCACGGCTGGTGCTTGTCGTCCTGGACGAACCTGAGGTTGGAGAGAAGAAGTTTAAAACGTTTTTTTTTTTTTTTTTTCTGTTATTTAAATGGCCCGATGGACCCTGTTTGTTAAAATGGCATATAGATAAAACCCCGAGGACAGAAATAGCTCGTATACTTTTGGGATACCCGAACCTCCCTTTGGGGGAAGGAGGACCCAAATGCCACTTAAGAACAGCTGAGTTTCCAATTTCCATGATTGCTATTGACCGGAAAGCAATTCCACTATTGGATTGTCGGAATGCACCTGTCAACTCCGCACGTCGAGGTGCAGGGTTTGCACCTGACTGCGAATCCAGGTACATTCTGACAGTGGCAAACGTGGAGTTCAAGTTCCGACGACTGTTTTTTCTTTTCGGACTTCAGACACAACAATTAAGTGGTCATCGCGCCATCATCGCATCCTTTCCCCCTTCCTTTACCTCTGCCACTCTTCTCCTTCATGTAGGCACTGTCTCTCCTACATCTCCCAATGTCAATTCCTCACTCTTTTCATTCATCCTCCTCCCCTTCCTCCTCCTTCTCCTCCTCTCTTCCTCCCTGTTCTTCCAATCTTTCTCCTCGTTCGCTCCTACGGGTCGGTTCTCATACTTCTCACTCCTCTTCCTCTTCCACCTCTTCCTCTTCCACCTCTTCCTCTTTCTGCCTTCCCCCTCCTCTTGTCCTATCCTCTTCCTCCTCCTCCTCTTCTTCCTCCTCTCCTCCTCCTCCTCCTTATTCTTCTTCTTCTTCTTCAGTTGGAGCAAAGAATCGTGGTGCGTACTGCTGGGTCTGTGTATCGCCCCTGACGAGACCAGGAGCGCACCTGGTAGGGACGCGACGGGGAATGTGCGCGTTACTATGATTCGCACATGCGATTATGAATGTTATATCTCGAGAAGCGTGGGCTGAACTGCTTGTCAATATTCTTCTTCTTCTGCTGCTGCTGCTGCTGCTGCTGCTTCATCGTCGTCGCCGTCGTCATTGTCTTCTTCTTCTTCTTCTGATCTTCTCCTCCTGATCCACATTATCTCTCTTCTTCCTTTTCTTCTTCCTCTTCCTTTTCTTCTTCATGTTCCATTCTCCATTTCTGTGGATCTAGGTGCAAATGCTGATTGCCCACTGTTATAGGCTGTTCTTCTTCTGCGATTTCGTTTCCTCTCTACGTGCTGATCGCGTCGCTGCGTTCTGTTTCTTCTCCTGCTTCTTCTTCTTCTTCTTCTTCTTCTTCTTCTTCTTCTTCTTCTTCTTCTTCTTCTCCTCCTGTTTCCTCCTCATGGTTTCTTCTTCTCCTCCTCTTTTCTTTGTTTTCTTCTTCCTCTTCTTCTCCCCCTCCTCCTCCTGCTTTCTTTTTCTTGTTTTCCTTCTCCTCCTGCCTTTTTTTTCTTGTTTTCTTCTTCTTCTTCTTCTTCTTCTTCTTCTTTGTTGTGCTTCCTCGTGCTTTGTTGAGGTCTCTGTGCTCTCGTCTAAATGCGGTTCTATATTTTGCTTTTCGTTTGTCCGTATTTTTTATCCACCGGAATTGCCCGGCGGGAATTAAACAAACATACAGTAATCATCACCGTACAGTTTACCTGGGTAACTATCACCGTGCAAACTCCCGCAGCCGCAGCCACGACAAGATTGGCCCCTGGTCCCAGTGTTGGCTCCTTGTTTCTGCGCAAGTACGCTCGCTTGAAATAGTTATAGCTGTAAAAGTACAAGAACTGGGAGATGACGCTCTGCACATTCTTCGTCCACAAACCCCGATAAAAACAGGCCAGATCGCGCCTCTCTAAAAATTGTCGAAACACGTCCCACGTGGACTTGTACTTGCGACGATCGCCCGTCTCAGCTTCTGCCTGAAATATAGTCTTACACGTGTCCAAAGGATAAAGCACCGTTGTGCTCACCAAACCTCCTAATGCCCCTCCTACTGCCTCCTGAAGTGCTGCCAAGTCCACCGCCATACTCCTCCCTCTCTCCTGCGATCGTCCCCCGCCTTCTCTCTCTCTCTCTCTCTCTCTCTCTCTCTCTCTCTCTCTCTCTCTCTCTCTCTCTCTCT